ATGAACAGAACTGCTGTGAACACCCACGCCGCGAGTGTTGCGTGGACATCTGTTTTCATTACTCTTGAGGAAGAGCCCAGGAGTGCAATGGCGGAGGCGTGGCAGCCCCGTCTTAACATTGTCAGCAGCTATAGTCTCTTCCAAAGTGGTCTCACCATCTGATTCTCCCACCAGTCAAGTATGAGAAATCCGGTGGTTCCACACTCTTGTCAGCACGGGGTGCCCGTATGATGGTCAGTATCACTGATCCGTTTCTCCTCCCCACCCCCAGGTGATCCGCACAGACACCTTTAAGCACCTGCGGCACCTGGAGATCCTGCAGCTGAGCAAGAACCTCGTGCGCAAGATCGAGGTGGGCGCCTTTAACGGGCTGCCCAGCCTCAACACGCTGGAGCTCTTCGACAACCGGCTGACCACGGTGCCCACGCAGGCCTTCGAGTACCTGTCCAAGCTGCGGGAGCTCTGGCTCCGCAACAACCCCATCGAGAGCATCCCCTCCTACGCCTTCAACCGCGTGCCCTCGCTGCGCCGCCTGGACCTGGGCGAGCTCAAGCGGCTGGAGTACATCTCGGAGGCAGCTTTCGAGGGGCTGGTCAACCTGCGCTACCTCAACCTGGGCATGTGCAACCTCAAGGACATCCCCAACCTGACCGCCCTGGTGCGCCTGGAGGAGCTGGAGCTGTCGGGCAACCGGCTGGACCTGATCCGCCCGGGCTCCTTCCAGGGCCTCACCAGCCTGCGCAAGCTGTGGCTGATGCACGCCCAGGTGGCCACCATCGAGCGCAATGCCTTCGACGACCTCAAGTCGCTGGAGGAGCTCAACCTGTCCCACAACAACCTGATGTCGCTTCCCCACGACCTCTTCACACCCTTGCACCGCCTCGAGCGGGTGCACCTCAACCATAACCCCTGGCACTGCAACTGCGACGTGCTCTGGCTGAGCTGGTGGCTGAAGGAGACGGTGCCCAGCAACACGACGTGCTGCGCCCGCTGCCACGCGCCGGCAGGCCTCAAGGGCCGCTACATCGGCGAGCTGGACCAGTCGCACTTCACCTGCTACGCGCCGGTCATTGTGGAGCCGCCCACGGACCTCAATGTCACCGAGGGCATGGCCGCCGAGCTCAAGTGCCGCACGGGCACCTCCATGACCTCCGTCAACTGGCTGACGCCCAACGGCACCCTCATGACCCACGGCTCCTACCGCGTGCGCATCTCGGTCTTGCACGACGGAACGCTCAACTTCACCAACGTCACCGTGCAGGACACGGGCCAGTACACGTGCATGGTGACGAACTCGGCCGGCAACACCACCGCCTCCGCCACGCTCAACGTCTCGGCGGTGGACCCCGTGGCCGCGGGGGGAGCCGGCGGGGGCGGGCCCGGGGGCGGGGGCGGCGGAGGCGGCAGTGGCGGCTACACCTACTTCACTACGGTGACCGTGGAGACCCTGGAGACGCAGCCCGGGGAGGAGGCCCTGCAGCCGCGGGGGACGGAGAAGGAGCCCCCGGGGCCCACGACGGACGGCGTCTGGGGAGGAGGCCGGCCGGGGGACGCGGCCGGGCCTGCCTCGTCGTCCACCACGGCGCCCGCTCCGCGCTCCTCCCGGCCCACGGAGAAGGCGTTCACGGTGCCCATCACGGACGTGACGGAGAACGCCCTCAAGGACCTGGACGACGTCATGAAGACCACCAAGATCATCATCGGCTGCTTCGTGGCCATCACGTTCATGGCCGCCGTGATGCTGGTGGCCTTCTACAAGCTGCGCAAGCAGCACCAGCTCCACAAGCACCACGGGCCCACGCGCACCGTGGAAATCATCAACGTGGAGGACGAGCTGCCCGCAGCCTCGGCCGTGTCGGTGGCCGCCGCCGCCGCGGTGGCGGGCGGGGCCGGCGTGGGCGGGGACAGCCACCTGGCCCTGCCCGCCCTGGAGCGCGACCACCTCAACCACCACCACTACGTGGCGGCCGCCTTCAAGGCGCACTACAGCAGCAACCCCGGCGGCGGGGGCTGCGGGGGCAAGGGCCCGGCCGGCCTCAACTCCATCCACGAACCTCTGCTCTTCAAGAGCGGCTCCAAGGAGAACGTGCAAGAGACGCAGATCTGAGGCCGCCGCGCCTCGGCCCGCGGGACGCGGGCGGGTGGGGACCGCGGCTCCCGCCCCGCCGCGCGCGCTGGGGTCCGGGCACGCGCCTCCGCGCCCCTCGCCGCCCCTCGCCGCCCCACCGGCCGGGCGACCGGAGGGGACGCGAGACCAGGAGAAGCGGCCGAGCCCGCGCGTTTCCTCGCGCCCTGCGACCAAGTCCCGCCCGCCCGCCGCCTTCCAGGGGAGAGGAGCTTTTTTGAGGGGTGTCCTTTCCCCTCGTCCCAACAGCCCTCCTTTTACGGTTCATTTTTTGCAGTTTGACGCCTGTCCCTCCCTCCCCTCCCCCACCCCCGAGACCCGAGAGACAGACACCGCCGGAGACACCCGGCGTCCCCGCGCTAGCTCCGCTCCCGGCTGCCGGCCGGTGGCTGGGGTCGGGGCGGCGTCCGCGCCCCAGCCCCTCGTGCCCGTAGACTCTTTTGATACTGAAGGGAGGTTTGCGTCAACGACTACCTGCTCTGTAATTACTTTAAAAAAAAAAAAAAAAAAGACGAAAAAAGTAAAAAAAAAAAATTTTTTTTTTTGGTCATGAAAGCATGGAGGAGACCCAAAACAAAATGGATGTGGGTGGGGACCACAACGAGGGGGTGGAACTGAAGCCTCATAGGTTCCAACCAGCTTGACTCATCTCCAGGTGGTCTTAGGCGCCCCCCTCACCCCAGACCCCAGAGAGGGTCATGGTCACCCGGTGCACACCTGCTGCTCCCATCGCACCTCCCGGCAGCCAGTCTCTGCTGGGAATTCTCACACTGCCTCCCACATCTCGGCTGACAACATGGCGGGGGGCCTAGGGCTGCAAAGTACCACAGGCTGGGTGGCTTAAAACAACCGCGTGTATCGTGTGACAGTGCTGGAGGCTTCAAGTCCAAGCTCAGGTGCCAGCCTTGCTTTGCAGCATCGTCCCCCAGTCCTTCCCCTGTGTTGACACATCACCTTCCCGCTGTATGTGCCTGTCTGTATCCAACTCGGCCTCCATGCAGGGCCAGGTAACAGGGGATTCGTTAGGAGCCCACCTCCAGGAAAAGCGTCTCTTAACCTGATCACTGGAGACACCCAACCATCAGAGGTCACATTTGAGGTACCAAAGGTCAGGACTTCAACATCTCTTTCCAGATGGCAAAATGCAACCCACGACAGGGTCCAAATCAGAGGGTCGTTCTCCACTGCAAATCCCCACAAGCCTGCTGGGGAATGAAGCAGGTGGCTGAAAGGGGTGGGTATGACAGGAGGGTGGCTCCAGCTACAGGAGGCCTGGGGAACATCAGGGGAGTTGCAGAGACAGGACAAGTGCCCAGGAAGGGGAAGGGGACTGAACTCGGGGACAGACTCTGGGGTCCTTCCAGAAAGAGTGGTGCTGGGCCAGGCCAGTCGGCAGCTGCAGGGGTGAGTTGGACATCTCCGGGGGTACACAGTCTCCAAGATTCAACCTCAAGAAGGCTGGAGTCCCCAGGGCTGTCATCAAAAGCAGGAGGAGACAGAGGGAAGCAGAGGGAATGAGGAGCCAAGTCACCCAATGGCCCCTCCCCCATTTACTTTGGCACAGCTGCCCCCATATACCGGTGCCCTGAACACCAGGGGGGACACTCCAGCCCTTGGTAGAGGCCACCACATAAGGTGGGGAAGGAGGAAACCCCCACTGCATGCATCTGTGTGCCCCAGAGGGGTCTGGTCAAGGGTCTGCATTCCTGGTGCCTGCCCTCTTTCCTGGCTGTCTCTGTGTCCACGGCATCTTATCTCTTCCCCCACCCAGGGCACTTAAAGTGAATTCTTTCCTTATCTTCGGGGACAGTACCACCCCTGCATCAACAGTAGGGCCTCTGGCCCTATCTGCCTGTGCCTGTCTCCTCTGGGCAGGTCGACCTGGGACAAGGGCCACTAGCTCGGATCTTTCATGCTTTCTCCAGGCCCTTTCAGTGCAGATCCTGGTTGCCATGGCAACACTGTGGTGGTACCAGGTGGTGGTGGGGGCAGGGAGCCAGGCCTGCTGCAGCTCAGCCATCTCCAGTGCCAGGCCCGCCAGGCCAGGCGCAGGGACTGTGCTGATCCTGGGGGCACTCGGGGACTCCCCAGGCCGCGCAGGTTCCTCCTCTGTGATGTGCTGCTGGTGGGGAGAGGGAAGGACAGACTGAGACGGGGAGCAGGAACACAGGGAGAAGGGGAATATGGGGGAAGCGGCTTCGAGGCTGGGGGGTGAAGGGTGGAAAGACAAGGTGAACTGAAGGACGATGGGCACTGGAGGGAGGTGGGACTTGCCAGGGCTGAGGGGTGCAGAGAGCGCACCCCCTCCATGGGACTGGGGGACACTAGGAACTGGAGCCCCTGCTGCCTTTGGGGAGAAGCAGGGGCACAGCCAGGCAGAGGCCTCCCTCCCACCTACCACTTAGGGGAAGTGGGGAGTGGAGGGGAAAATGAGGACCTGGGAGCAAGGGGACCAGCTGAGGGCCCAGAGTCCCTGTCACTGGCTCCTCTCCACAACCCAAGCAGGATGCAGTTTCCATGACAACCTGGCCAGCCAGAAAGGGGGCGGGGGACTGCAGAGGGAATTTTCCACATCAGCAGGAAGGAGCAGTGTGGGCTGCAGAGGAAAGAACTGCCAGGAAGGCGGGGGCCATACCAGGCCCCGCAGCCCCAAGTCCCCACACCCTCTGCCCTGTCCTCCCAGCCAGCCCAGGGCAGAGGGAATGCAGGGAAGGAGCCTCATCCCGCCCCATTTTGGCAAACCCACCTCCGCCCACTGTGCAGGAGGCTCAGGAAAGGGACAAGGGTCAACTGTCCAAAGATCAGCAGCTGCCCAGGCCAGCTGGGCAGTAGGCAGCACAAGGAGCTCCTGCCACAGCCAGCCAGATTCAAGGGCATGGCCCTGGATAAGGCCCCTTGGAAGGTGGGGGTGGTGGGCTATGGCCGCCTTGGTGAGTCGCTTATCATCTTGGGCTCCTTCCTCAGGACCCTTCCCAAAACCACCACAAACACATTTTTTATCTGTGTCCACCTATCCAGTGCCTTCCCAGTCCCTTTCTCTGTCTGTTCCCATCTGGGCCTCTATCGCTGCTCTCTGGGGATGTTCCCCTTTCTCTGTAGGACTCTCTGTCCCCCTCATCTCTGTCCATCTATGTCTGTCTCTCTGGACCTGTCCGTCCTTCCTCCCCCTCCCTCCCCCCTCCCCTCTCTCTCTCTGAATCTGTCCCTTCTCTGTGTGTCTCTGTCCCCACCCTTCTTCTGGCCCTCATCTCCCTATCTCTGGGTCTCTAGCCCTCTCCTTTCCCTCTCCGCAGGACAATCCCTTGTCTCCCACCTTCTGGCTCAGGGACCCGAACTGGGCCTAGAACTTGTTTTTGTTTGGAATCGTGACCCAGGACGCATGGCAGGGAGCGTGCCCTCTTCTCTGCAGCTCCATGATCTTGCTGCCCTTGGGGAAAGGTCAGTGGCCTTCAGTGAGAGTGGGGTGTCCTAAAGCTCCTGTTCTGGCCTTTTTGAGCTGTGTCTGATGTCAGGCAAGTCCCTGACCCTCCCTGGGCCTTGGGTCACTCCAACATGAAAAGGAACAAGCACACCCAGCCCAGGCCAGGGAGACTGACAGCCTCCACAGACTCTGAGAGAACCTGGGGAGGGGAGGCCTAATTACTCCCCAAGGCCCCCCATCTCTCCCCTCTTCCAGGCACCCTGATCTTGTGGTAGAAGTGGCCCATCCCCAAATAATCCATGAATCTGGGGCACAAATCCTGCGCCATGCCAACCTCCTGGTGAGTCCCCTAAACCCACACCCAAGCCCTGACCCCTTCAGCCATCTGTCCCCTGAACTCAACCCTCCCTACCCAGGTGGGGTCCCCCTCAGCCCTGGCTAACCAGACCACAGAGAGGCAGCTCCTGGGGGCCTCACACCGCTGGAACCATGCTGTGTTTGTGGCCCGAGGGGCTCTATGGGGGACTGAGGACATCAGCAGATTGGATGCAGCTGGAGGCCTCCAGGTGAGGACCACTGGGATCCCCAGGGACCAGTAGGGGCTTGCAAAGACCCCAGTCCCCCTGACCACAGCTGTTGCTTCCAGAGCCTCCGTGTCACTATGGCCACACACCCGGATGGCTTCCGGCTCCTGGGACCCCTGGCTTCAGCCCACATCACTGGGCCTCGCACTGTGCTCTATGAAGGTCCTGTCCGTGGCCTCTGCCCATTTGCCCCTCGAAACTCCAACACCATGGCAGCCGCTGCCCTAGCTGCCCCTAGCCTGGGCTTTGACAATGTGATCGGGGTGCTTGTGGCAGATCTCAGGTGAGCCAAAATGAGCAGGGGTTTGGTCTGGGTCCCTGCCAACCAGACTGACTGCCCTGCTTCCTGCAGCCTCACAGACCTACACGTTGTGGACGTGGAGCTGAAAGGCCCCCCAGGCCCCTCAGGCCGAAGCTTTGCTGTCCAAACCCACCGAGAGAACCCTGCCGAGCCAGGCGCTGTGACTGGCTCCGCCACTGTCACAGCCTTCTGGCGCAGCCTCCTGGGTGAGGCTAGACCCTCCTCAGTGTTTAGTGGCCCCTCTCCCTGGGCTCTGGGTGCTTGTTCACAGAGGCTGGGGTCTTGGGCTCTGGTTCTAAGTTTTCCTTCTCTCTGTGAGTCTTTATTTCTGAATCTTCTTAACCTTTCCACTCCACAACTTGAATTTTTGTATGTCTCCATCTCTGTCCATGTCCCCTCTGAAGTCTCTGTCCCACCTTCTGAAGGCCTCTGTCCATACCTCAATCATCTCTCTATCCACACCCCAAGTCAGTCTCTATCTGTCCTCACCACAAGTCTCTGTCTCTGCGTCGCTATCTGTCCACACCCCAAGTCAGTCTATCCATGTGTCCACACCCCAAAACTCTCTGGGTTGTCCTCCTTCTTCACGTTCCTTCCACGTTGGTAGTCCCTTCACTTTTCTGCCCCACCCCCAAGCGTCGGTCTCTTCTCTCCGTCTTTCCTTCTCTCTTTTCCTTCAGTGGTCTTCATTGTCCATCTTCCCCCCTCTCCCTGCAGGATGCTGCCAGCTTCCCTCCAGGCCTGGGATCCATCTCTGCTGAGAAGCCTCTTTCACCCTTGAGGACATCTTGTCTGACTGATCTCTCCACACCTCTGCCCCACTCTTGTCCCGGCCGCACTTTCCCAGGACTCCCTACTGTCACAGTAAACCAGAGACTTTTCCAGATCTGTCTACCGTCTGCTTCCGTGATTCCCTCTGTGACGTCACTACGTCTGCATATTGTACATTTGGCGCCATAGCAATGGGCGGGCCCACACCTCAACAAACCCCCTGGAAACTATCGCGAGAGCTTACGCACTACATTTCCCAGAAGCCTCTGGGTAATAGTGGGCGTGGGAATACGGGAGGGGTCGACCTTCCCAGACACATTTCCGGCACGTGCCGCAGGGACCGACGGAAGTTGTAGACCTGTTTTTTAACGGGTGATAGTACACTTCCGGGCCACGCAGCCTGGATATTCCGTGAGGAGAGTTTCGCGGGGGCCGCCGGGAGTCGTAGTCCGGAGCGCGGGTATCGCTGGGAGCTGTAGTCCGTCCCGCCTGTCCAGTCCGTGCCGTGCGGTCGCCTTGCACTCGGAGCCTAGAGCCGCCGCCCAGGGGGATGCGGGAACCCCTGGCACGGGGGAACGGAGAGGCAGGCGGGGTGAGGGGCGTTGCCAGGCAAAGGGCGAGCGCCGCGGTTGCGGTATGGGTCGGGGAAAGGGCTCTAATTATTTGGTGTCCGGGGAGGGGGCCTGTTTGCCATGTGATAGAAAAAGGAGATCCTATTGCTTAGTGACTGGGGAGGGGTCCCTGTTGCCAGGTGACAGAGGAGAGGACCTTGTTTAATGACAGGGGAAGGGGAGTCTTCTGTTGCTAGACAACCCGGGAGGACCCTGTTACCTAGAAACAGGGGAGGAGAGAAGAGAATTCCTCTATTGCTAGGTAATCAGAGGAGGGACTTTGATACCTTGTGTATGGGGGAGATCATCTGTTGCTAGGTAACCAGAGAGAGGTCCTGTAACCTAGGAACAGGGAAGAGGGGGTCCTCTGTTGCTAGGTGACAATGATAGGGACCCTTTTACTTACAGACATGGCAGGAGTGGTTCTCTCTTGCCAGGTGAGCAGAAGAGAGACTTTTTAATTTTTTTGTAAGAATCGCCTCTGTTGCCAGAAGACGGCCCAGGGAACAGGGTCAGGTACCCAGTGTCCTCCCAGGCTGCTCCTAGCCCCACTTTAATCTCCGTGCCCAAGGGGCCTGCTGGGAGGTGGGACCTCTGAGGTTGGCCCTCTAGATCCTGGGCCCCTGAGCACCTTTTCCCCTCCTAACCTTAGCAGGAGCTGAGGACAGCATGTCCCAGGCCCCAGGAGCACAACCCAGCCCGCCCTCCGTGTACCATGAACGGCAGCGCCTGGAGCTGTGCGCAGTCCACGCCCTCAACAACGTCCTGCAGCAGCAGCTCTTTAGCCAGGAGGCTGCCGATGAGATCTGCAAGAGGTGACTGTCACCTGCCCTGACTCTCTCAGGGCCGGCTCAGAGAGGCAGAACAGCCCACCTGGGATTCACTGTGGGGCCCAGACATGCTCCTTTAGCTGCCTGAACTGGAGCCTGGGACTAGGCATGGAGATGCTGCTTCTTCCACCCGTCAGTCCCCGCGTCTCAGCCCAGCCAGGCCTCACCTCTCTTATCACAGACTCTCAGTGGCCAGTTTTAGTCCTCTAGTACATCCTACCCCAGCCTCCGAGCTGACCCTGCCCCTCCCCTCTCCTAGTCCTCTGACTCCCCAGCCTTTCTCTGAGGGAGCATCCCCTTGGCCTGATATCCAAGGCGCTGCATGCTCTGGTCCCTGCCTGCCTCTGCAGCTTCATCTCTGTGTTCTCCTCAAACCAGAATCTCTGCAGCCCCTGAAGGGGCTCCCCTGTGGTGATGCCTTTGGAACTTTGCATTGGCTGTCCTTTCCACCTAACATGGCTCCTGCCTCTTGGCAGCCTTCATGTCCTGCCTCAAAATTTCAAGAATCACTTCTCCATATCTCCTTCTTTCCCTCCTCTGGCCCCGCAATCTGGCCCAACTCTCTGCTGTCTGGACCTTCCACCCAGCCTTCTCCTCAGCCTCCTCACCTCCAGTCTCTCTTCCAACAGTGCCCCATGTGACCCCAGAGAGATCCCTCTATATCCAGGGATGCTCCCTCCCCCAGCTCCCCAGCATCCTCAGACTGATTGTTATAGGATTCCTTTGTCTCCTCTGTCATTCAAAATAGGGGTTAATCTACTCTTTCATGCCAAGGCCATAATGGGGACCCAAAGCAGCCCTGCCTTAAGAGAGGTGGCAAGGGAAACAGGCCCACAGAAACATAAAACTCATTTCCTCCTCCCCCTGCCCTGCCTTCCATGGGCCCAGACAGGGAACAAAGGTACAGTTGTGGAGAGGAGCAGGGCTGAGGGAGACGTGTGGCAGGGTGGGCCCTGGGCGGGGGAGAGCTGGGGGGAACAGCAGGCAGCTGGGACAGGTGGCAGGGAAGGGCCACAAATGCTGGGTGGAAGAGGTGGGGCTCTGCTGGGGAGACAGGCACCTGGATGGCTGGGAGCAGGGAGGGCCGGGTAGCCCTGAGTGAGAGGCGAAGGCCTTAGAACACAGTGGTCTGCCAGGCCTCATGCAGGGGGCTTGGTTCACTGGGGGAGCCCGAGAGCCCCAAGCCCAGCTGGAGGCCAGGAGACTCCCTCAGAGGTAGTGACATCTGAGGTGGCTCTGGAAGGACACAGAAAGGAACTGATTATGCTGAGAAGGCTTCTGGGTGGGACTCTGTCCCAGGCTGCTGGGAAGCCACGGGGGGGGTGGGGGGGGGCTGAGGGCAGAGGAGGGAGGGGGCAGCTCTGGGCCACGAGGGAGGTGGCTGGAGGGGATGGCTGGAGGCTGGGTGGGGATCCAGGTAGAAGGAGTCAGAAGCCTGGCTGGAGCCCTGGGAACCGGGGTAGTCAGGACAGGAGGGACAGAACTTGGGGTTGAAGAGAGGAGGGGTCGGAGAGGAAGCCCCGGGACCCTCGTGATGCATGGGAAGGTTGAGACCTTTCCAGGATCCCAGCTCAGACTCTGATCACCCACAACCACCAGGTTGGCCCCAGACTCCCGACTGAACCCCCATCGTAGCCTCCTGGGCACTGGCAACTATGACGTCAATGTGATTATGGCCGCCCTGCAGGGGCTGGGCCTGGCGGCCGTGTGGTGGGACAGGAGGAGGTAGGACCCAGTATCATGCTGTCCTGCCTTGGCAGCACAGTGCTGTGTGGCTGGGGGGGGGGGGGCGCGGGGGGTGAGGGAGGTTTGCACAGCCTGCGCTGCAGCAGGCGGGTCAGAAGGCGGGTGAAGGACAAGGTGAAGGCCAGACGGTCAGGAGAGGCTGGCGGAGGATGACGAGCAGCATGATGGTCACTAGGCAAATTAAAGGAGGGCGAGTGAGAGGCTGGGTGTGCCTGGCAATGGTGCACATGGATGGGTGGGTGAGTGATTTAAAGATGGACAGCACGCGTGCAGTGGGTCTCTGACAGGTGGCTGATAACTGGATGGATGGGTGGGAGATTTTGGTGGGTGAAGGACGTCAGGATAAATAGGAGACTGATCAGTGGGTGGTAGTTAGCAGTTGAGGGGGGTTTGGAGGGTGGGTGGCTCGGTGGGATTTAATGCCTGGAGAATAGATGAGCAGGTGGGACGGTGGCCGTGGCAGGGGTTCTGGTAGGATGGATGGATCATGGAGGACGGGTGGGGTGAAGACTCAGTTGCTGGGTAGGTGGATGAATGGACAGATTGGTGGTGGGTGGAGCTGGTGGGATGGTGGAGGTCTGATTGGCTGGGAGGCTTGAAAAGGTGGACGAATGGATGGGTAAGAGGGGACTGGGGACCACAGAGGCCCACACCATCAAGAACCTCGGTAACATTTGGCCAGCTCATCAAGGCTAGGCAGAGCAGCCTGACCCACGTCCCCTTCCCACTCCCCAGGCCCCTGACCCAGCTGGCCCTGCCCCAGGTGCTGGGGCTCATCCTGAACCTGCCCTCACCTGTGTCGCTGGGGCTTCTGTCCCTGCCACTGCGCCGTCGGCACTGGGTGGCTCTGCGCCAGGTGGACGGTGTCTACTACAACCTGGACTCCAAGCTGCGAGCACCCCAGGCCCTGGGGAATGAGGATGGTGTCAGGTGAGCCAGGGCAGAAGTGACTGAGGCTGGGGCCTCGATGCTGGAACCCCGCTCTGCCCCAATTAAATGTGCTGGCTGGGCCTCAGTTTCCCCTTTCTCCCATCCAGGGCCTTCCTGGCAGCCGCCCTGGCCCAGGGCCTGTGTGAGGTGCTGCTGGTGGTGACCAAGGAGGTGGAAGAGAAGGGTTGCTGGCTGCGGACAGACTGACCTATGGCCTACTCTGCCTGTGTGGCTGCACCCAGCCTGAGTTCCAAGTGCCGGGGAAGGGCCTGTGCTTCAGGCACCTGGAGTAGGCCCTTCCCCTTCCCCACGTTCCCACTCCCCAATGCCGCTGCTGCCTCAATAAATCTGCCAATTTGCTCCCTGCCTGATCTGTGTCCAACTGACCCCCTGCACCTGCTGAGGGTCCCTTTCCATCCGAGAGGCCAGATACCCTAGTGAGAGAGATGAGGGGACAAAAAAATACTGCTACAGTCTGATGTGTGTGGTAGGGTAAGAGCTGAGCAGAATGCGAGGTTTATTTCTTGAGTCTTAATTGGGAGACAGGCAGAAAAATGGTCCCCACAGATGTTTAGGAATCCCAGAGCCTGGAATATGTTAGGTGACAGCAAGGTTCCAGCAAGGTTGCAGTTGGAATTTGGTGACCCATCAACTGGCCTCACAATAGGGACATGGTCCTGGCTCAGGTGGACCTCATGAGGCCACGGGGGAAGCAGGGGGGAGCTCATCCTAGGTCTGACCTCCAGAGGCATGAGATAATCCACCAACTGTGGACAGTGGCAATTCAGGTGGGGTACCAGGCCTCAGAGAAAGGCCACTGGGCAAGGGCTTGAAGAAGGCGAGAGAGGGGCTCGGGGGGGATGTTGGAGAAAGTCCTTCCAGGTGCAAAGCACAGCCCCACAAAAGCCTGAGGACAGAGGGGACAGGGGGAGATGATGGCTGGCCTTTCTGGCCACGCTACAGACCTGGCTCTGACCCAGGAGCCAGGAGCAGAGG